TAGCCTTGCGGTGCGTTCATAATAATCGAGTGAATGGTAAGCCCTCGTTCGTGGTGCGTTCGTGCTTTTATTTAGCATATTTACCGTATGTATCGTATTCGCCACACTATATATACCATATTTACTGTATTATATCTACCATCTTAACCATATATTCATGATGTTTACAATACGATATTTACCGTCATCACCATATTATATCTATCATAATTCGTCATATTATATCTACCTTTACCGTATTGTATTCACCATCTTTACCATAGAATATCTATCGTCTTCACCATATTATATCTACCATAATTCAACATATTCTATTCATAATTTTTACCATACAATATTTATCATCATCAGCATATCATATCTACCATAATTCACCATACATCTACCAGCTTCACCGTATTATATTCACTATCTTTACTATAGAATATTTATCATCTTCACCATGTTACATCTACCATAATTCAACCTATTCTATTCATCATTTTTACCATACAATATTTACCATCATCAACATATCATATCTACCATAATTCACCAATTATACGCACCGTTCACCAACACCAAACGAATACTCCGTCAATTCCCTCCCAAGTGGGGGTCCAACGGTCATTCATCCAACCAACGTAAACTCATAATATCTCCTGGAAACCCGAAAAGGAAGCCCATTATTGAGAACCCCGAACAGGGTGGGGCGCGCCACGAAAAAAGGAAACCCAGGTGGTGGGGGGCGAAAGTGAAAAAAGTCAAAACGATTAGTCGCCGTGAAACCGAACAATAGCGGATTTTCGGACGCGGCTCGGGGCTTAACTTCCCGGAAAATTTCCTGAATATATCCCCGTGCGCGCGTGCTGCTCGGAAGAGCATCGACGTCCCCGTCGGGGAGGAGTAGGGGGTTGAAACGCTGGGCTGTGTGGTAAAGGCACGGGGAAAATTTGGCCGCATTCGCACGGTCGAAAACCCCTGCGCTGCGAAGGGACGCGGCGAGCGGCGGGGATAGGGAGGAGGTCAACCCCTGGGACGAGGTTTCCATTTTCAGCGTGGCGCCTGCGTCCTCGA